TTATTTAGAATGTTCATTCGAATTGCCGCACCACTTGTGACTTTTTTGGCCTGTAGGTCCACCGGAAGAAAATTCAATAGGGCATACAGTGCCTTGGATGGTGTTGTTCTCATCGCACCAGTTATGAGTGTGGACGCAAGCCTTTGAACCTTGTCCATTTTTTTGAAGTTTACCCCTTTCCCAAGGGTTTTCCACCATACCACTATACCGTGATAGAGAATTGGCCTAACCACCGCCGTGTATTATTTGGGTTCCAGCCCCCATTTTCCCCTATTTTTTTGCCACTGTTGCTTTGCGCACTCTATCTGCAGCGTTGGGCCCCTAGTTTAGTTTCCTATCTACTATGAGACCTAGATATTTGGTCTCTTCCTTTATTGCGAGGCTGTTGCCCTCTAGAGTTATGTTCCCGAGATTAGGTGTCTTGTTCTTCCTAGTGAACAGCACAAGGTCTGTTTTTTCAGGATTCACTCCCAGGCCTGGACTGTTACACCACTGGGATAGTTTGTTGGGGGATCTTTGGATCAGATCTGTCAATGTTGAGATATGTTTACCCGAGATAGCTATTACAATATCGTCGGCGTATGCAATTATCTGACCGCCAATATCTTCAAGTTCCCGAAGAAGGCTGTCTACTTTAGGCTGTCCTTTTTATTACTGATTCGCCTAATCCTACGCTTATTTCTCGACCGATTAACATTCATTCGTTCAATAAATGAGGTTAGTGAATTGCTTACTCCCAGATTTGTCAAATATGAGATAATCGCTGCAGGAGGTACATTGTTGAAAGAACCCTCGATGTCCAGGAAGGCCGCGAGGGTGTATTCGTTGTAATAAAATGATGTTTCGATTGTGTGCACTAAAGAATGGAGTGCTGTTTCGACTGATCTCCCTTTGTTGTAGGCATGTTGGGCTGCCGAAAGTTTTCTGCCCACCTTTTCTCTAGAATTCCCATCTATTAGTCTCTCTAGAGATTTCAACAGACAAAAAATAAAGCTGAAAAAATAACGATTGTTTCCGAGCAAAAAATAAACCCCAAAAAATAACGATTATTTTCTGAGCAAAAAATAAAGCTCAGTAAATAACCGTACGGTCTAAACATTGGCCTCTAGGTCGCCGTGGTCGTTCTTACAGGAGTTAATATCTTTTTTACAATAAAACTACAAATTAAGTTGAGGTTTGTGAAAGGTGCTAGGTGCGTTGCAAAAATTAAATATATCTGCAGAAAATGTGTATTGTCATGCATATGTACATATATAAATCGGCGGAAAGGTTGTTTTCTTCATAAACTCTGAATTATTCATACACAAAATTTAGTAACATCACATATGAAAGCAAAACTATTAATTTTAATTTTTGTTTTTATACCGATTTTTTTCTCTCCTGGAATGATCAAAAAAGTGGACTTAGCACTCTAAGCTGTTGATATGTGTTGGAGGAGTTCCAACACAAAAGTCAATAATTCCACTTGAACTGTTTTTTTTTTTGAGATAATTGAGAAAAATTGGTTGACTATTTTTATATATCTATTGCATTTTAATCGTTGAGTGGGATCATATATGGTCCCTAGAATCTTTGAATATGTAGTTTCAAAATTATGACGGTTGCAACTTTGGAATCATTGCGTTTTGGTTACAAAAATATGAATTTTTTGCATGAAAACATTGCTTACATTATAATACGAAATTTGGATCAAATCAAAAACCCAAAAAAATAAAAATTGGAATTATTGCGTTTTGTCATGAAACACCTCCTTTCACGAATTATAAAATTTTTTTATATTGTTATTGAAACAATATTTTATATTTTAATTTTTTTTTATATTCATAATTGACACAATATTACCAAATTCGTACGTAATGTTATTATAGCGTAAGCTCAGTCACTCAAGAAACAGAGTTCCGGTCACCACGAGCGAGTTTGTTGTGGGATAAATGGCGTTACGTTTGGATGATGTCATGGGAAAGACAACGGCGCCTACATGATCATATGATGTATTTGAAAGATGTAGAACGAGTAAGAAACTTTAGCTGGGAAGATTGGAGGAAACGAGTAAGATTTAACATATCACACTAAGCGTTTAGACGATAGCTTATAAGATGTTGTCTTTTTCTTTTAGTTCCTTAAGTACATGAACCACAAAAAATCGCGGTTAACAGATTTGTTCCGCAAAATGGATAAGGACAACAATGGACTCATTCCAAGAAATGAATTCATGGACGGGATACTGAACACCAGTATATATTTATAGAAGATATCAATTCAAAAATATTTAATTATTTTTCTTACAGAATTCGATACATCTCGTATGGAGATGAGCGCTGTAGCGGATTTGTTTGATCGGAATGGTGAAGGTCTCATTGACTGGCAAGAATTCATTGCTGCTCTCAGACCTGATTGGCAAGAACGCAAACCAGTAACAGATTCGGATAAAATACATGATGAAGTAAAGCGGCTAGTGATGCTGTGCACTTGCAGGCAAAAGTTCCGTGTATTTCAAGTGGGAGAAGGCAAATATAGGGCAAGTACATAACATTATAAATTCATCTAAGGTAATAAATTTTTAACATCGCAAAATAGTTTGGTGATTCACAAAAACTGCGGCTGGTACGTATTTTACGTAGCACAGTTATGGTTCGAGTCGGAGGCGGTTGGGTTGCTCTTGATGAATTTTTGCAAAAGAATGATCCTTGTAGAGGTAAGTTTTTTGTAGCCAATTACAATAAAATTGAAACAACCTGAAGTATGATTAGTTAGAGTTTTGATATACACATACTTACATGAAATACGAACTGTTTTGAACACTAAAAAATTTAAGGGTAAAGTTGTGAAAAATGCATTAGTTTTTTTTAATGCATAGCATTTTAATGTTAATTTAAAAAATTAATGTATTTATTTTTGAAATTTAATATAAATGAAAATTTCAGTACATTAATTCCGAGGAAATAGGGCTAATGAATATTTTTTTTTGCATTAACATTCAAATTTGTATATTAATGCTTTGCAAATCTATTAACTAATTTTATTTTCAAGTAAAACTTCTTTGTTGACGTTGGGGGTAGTATTTTGAGGTCAAAAAAGAATGTGGCGGGAGTTAAGGCTGGTTTTCACTGCATCAGAGTAAATGCACTTTGTCGTCAAATAGGTAAGAAACACATTGTCAAATGGAACTAATCAACGGTTGATTGATTGTCTTAGTTCAGAATAGGTCGTCAGTCGTGTACATTGCTTCGGAGTTGGCTATCTGTCCGTTTTTGGCCCATCAAATTTACTCAGACAAGATAGAATCAATTCAAAAACAATTTCTACTTTTTGCTTTAAGATATTTTGGTTGGGATTCTCAATATAACCTTCCGACTTATGCGAGCCCATTAAAACTTATTAATCTTCCTACAATTGCCAGTCGCAGGCAAATGCTTGGTAGAATTTTTATAGTTAAATTACTGGCAGGCTCAATTTCAAGTCCGCTTCTTCTGGGTGAAGTTAGCCTTAATGTTCCCTCCCGCGTATCAAGACAAATTGTGTCCTTTATTTCTGAAAGCCTGTAAAATTAATTTTGAATTGCACGATCCACTCCGTTGCTTATGCCAAGATTTTAACTCTCATTCCAACTTGTTTGATATATATGATACGCTTTTCAGTATTAAGAAAGCGGTACTCTCCTCTCTCAATAAATGAATTATTAACATAAAGACCTAAAATCAGCTGATGACAGTTTTAGATCTCGACACTCAACAAACTCCTGACTCGGCGCAAAAATTGGAAGTACTAGTTCCATACGTCATGCGGACCCTCTTACGGATGGGCGGGAATGGAGGGTAAAAACTGTTGGGATTATTATTATTATAATAAAATCGGTATGCATCTACAATCAACATAAAAATATACAAAAGCAAACTAAGTTGCAAGCACATTGTTTTTATTTTCATAAAACATCCAACAATGTTTACAAGAATTTTTCTACAAATAAACATAATAGAATGAAGTTGGAAAAACTGTTAGTATTCGAAGTCCTTCCAAAAGAGGTTAATTATACATCACTAGAAAAAAAATTATTGGATTTTAGTATTGCAAACGATTAAAATTACTAAAAACTATAATGCATTAAAATTTATTTATTAGCATTCGTTTGGATAATTTAATGAAAATAAATTTCATTAGCATTATATTTTTCAGAATCAATGCATTGAAATTTTTATTTACATTAATTTTCAGAAATTATTGCATTAATTTTTTACATTAGCATTATTGCTTTAAGTACCATTAATGCATTAAAAAATTTATGAATTTTTCACAACTCTGCTTTAGGGTGATTGTAAGAGCATTGAAGATATTTGGTAGAACTTGGAGTGATTTCACCAATCCATAGTTATGATTTGATTTTTGGAAAGATACATATTATGTTGTTAGATGTGTTGTTTAATATTTCCTCCAATACCGCCAATTATTTTCAATGCGGTGATAGTCATTATATGTATATATAATTATATATATATATTATACATGTATTATACATATACACATATATTATTATAAATTATATATTCATTCTTCTAGAACCTTTTCGAAAACCTACCTGAAAATCGAAAATGTTATCGTTTTCAAAATCTGCTCTTGCCACGATTTTGAACTTCACGTATTCTAACTCGGTATTTTTTTGTTTCTGGATAAAACGCAGATACATTTTTATTTATTTCATTATTATTCAGTTTTACATGGAATAATAAGTATTGAAGTGAAGAAATAAATTGTTAATAAGCCACAATAACATTGACAAATACTTGTATGCTTAGGAAGAGCCTGCCTGAAACCATACAAGAAAGCAAATGCATGTGTAGAATTGACAACTTTTTATCCTATTCCTTATTGGCCGTTCGTTTCAAACAATATTGTATATTTTTCGAGCTCAAGGCCACATGAAAATCAAAACACAATTTTTGATTTTGCATTCGTTTTTATTTGCCGATATTCGACTTCAGTCTGAAGTCATCATCAGCACTGAAAAAATACATTCAGCGAAAACCAATATTTAAACCAAGGTTCATAGAATAGAAGGTTACGACATGGTGCTGTCAAAAATTTGTTTTCCTCCAATGACGTAGTTGCGAAGTCGGATCTGATTGGCTGAAATATTTTACGAAGAAGGACAGTACACAAAACACAGAAACTGTAACTATTGCCGTATATATTAGGAATCCTTATCAAATGGGCATTTTTGATATAAAATCGTAGCAAAGGTTATTGTAACCACGTAAAATGTTATAACTTCACGTGAAGCTGGATTTACATAATAATATTCGTACAATAGTGACAAATGAAATGTAAATCTAATGCTTATTGAAATTTCCTGGTGATTTTATTCTTGAAAGTGAGCAGGACGCACTCGCGCGTTTTTATATAAAAAGCGTTCATAACATTGGCAAAATTTTGCTTCCGAAATTGCAATTCATCTTTAGACATACGGTAAAACCTAAAGTTACCTTTTTCAGTGTAATTTCTGCAATCAAAAATAGCGCACTTAAATTTGTAATAATTTAAATAAACTCAAAGACGCAGAAAAATGCACAAACTTCAACGCAAATTGTGGAACGGTAAATATCAGGATTACACATATTTGAAATAAAACGTGATGTATTTTTGAATAAAATAGTGTATTTTTGTAAGATAATTTTTTAGGAATCTGGCAACTCCAAAAATTGAGCCATCTACGTCATGGCTGATGTCGTAACCTTGTATTCTATGAACTTTGATTTAAATAGGCAAATTTGGAGACAATAGAAAACATCAACATGAGAATGTAAACAATTCAAAATACAGTAATTGTAAACAAAAATCCACGAACAACAATACATAGGAAAACGAAGAGTAAGACATAAATATGTATGCATATCGCTGTAGCTCTCTTTTGTTCTTGCCCGAAGCATATAAGGTACGGAATGGCAGTGGACTGCGAACGAACATATGCCACCTA